GATCCCACTATTTAGGGTACTATATTCGGGGTCCCCTGTTTTCGGAAACCCCCATTTCAACCTTTTGACATGGTGTAGGTTATGCAGCAGGTTTATAGCAGCTGCGGACCTGGGCATACCTCGCCGGCCCTAAGGTACTGAACGCTAAGTTTATTTTGCTTAATGTAGGAGCCTGAATAATTACCAATACTATTCTGGGGGTTCCTTGTTATAGTTTATTGGGCCCCAAAACCCTATAATTACTAGTTATTCAGGCCCCTAAACCCTAAACCCTTCCCTTATAGAACCCGCTTATTAAAGAAGCCCCTAAACCCTGTTCTACTTTATTATGGCACCCAAGCCCTTTCTTTTTTGACGGCCGAAAGTTTCGGCTGATACGATGCGAGGCTTCGTGCGGCCTTCGAGACGAAGGCCATGAGTTCCAACAGATTTTGGCTTGCTGGGTTTAGGGTTTAGGGGTTTAGGGATTTAGGGGCTTAGGGTTTAGGGATTTATATAGGGGCTTAGGGGTTTAGGGTTTAGGGCTTAGGGTTTAGGGTTTAGGGGTTTAGGGTTTGGGGTTGTTTCGGGCTTGTGCACCGCCATGTTTGGCTTTTTTTGGTCGGCTTGGTCCAGGGCCTACGGTGAGGTTCCTAGAACCCCTCGCCTCAAGCTTGGCGTGGGTATGGCGGGGCTTAATAGCCGATCAGGGTTTAGGGTTCAGGGTTTAGGGTTCAGGCTTTAGGGTTCAGGGTTTAGGGTTCAGGGTTTAGGGCTTAGGTTTCAGGGTTTAGGGTTCAGGGTTTAGGGTTTAGGGTTCAGGGTTTAGGGTCAGGTATCTAGTCTGCAAGCCTGCAACACGTTTCAACGTGCAGGTTGACTCGCTCATGAGCGCCGACCTTCCTTACGTGGAGATGACGCTGCTGGTTTTCAAAGCGTAGCCAGTAATCAGTTGCGATTGAACTGAAGTTCCCCCCGCAGTGCGCAGACCCAGGCTCTTATGAACTTAATCGTCGAAGGTGCCAAGCTACGGCGCAGTCGTAGGTCATCGAAGGGATTCAGTATTCGGGTTAAGATGGATTACTGGGTTAGGACCAGGCACCGGTCCACGTCAACACAAGTCCTTAAAGGCCGAGGGGGCTGAAGCTATGGGTATCAAGTCGTCGGTGTTCGGATGGAATACCACAAGGTTTTGGGGGTTGATCAGCCAGAGGCGAGGGCAAGAAAGCAGCGGAGCTGTGCGATAAGTTTTATACCTAGAATTGCCGGACTACTCCACTAAAGCCCTGTTGTGAATGTACAAGCACCCACTTCTCTGCTGAACCAACCCAAAACGCTTGACTTTAGACCGTGAATGTTTCGTCCCAACCCAAGACCCAAAGCCCTAAACCCCAAAAACCTCATCCTAAAGCAGAGGCCCCTAGACTGCAACAGCCCAAACCCGTTTGGCAAAACCGCTTCCCAGCCCTGGTCTCTCGTGCCTCAAAGCCATGAAACCCCTAAACCATCCTTTTCCCGAGACCCTGGTTTAGGGTTTTGGGTTTAG